ATTAAATCATTGACCACGTACAATCTATACATATACATTATCAATCGACTCCAAGCTCTCATTCAGATCTGCCTCCGACAAAGGATAAAACCAAGTCCCCATTCTTTTTTTGATGATTTGTTTCATTTGGAAAATGCAAGAAAAGGTCTGTCACTACTTCCATTTCATGACAACTTTTAGGAAATGTTTCCTGCATTTTGAAATAATTTCTCTTAGAATCATTTTTACAAACTCTTATAATTGATTTTTCTTAACTGAAACAAAACTGGTTTTCATCTGGCTCTCGTCACCTTTCCAGAGAAACAGCCGGCCGGGACCTTCACCCTCTCAAGCTTGTCCACATATCCATGGCTCTGGAAGTGTGTGTGTGTGGTTGAGGCTGGGCCATCTTGCTGAACAGTATCTCAGGAACTGCCTGAAGCTCTCTGTGAAATTCACACTCTCTGTAGCGGCCAGCTGTACCTTGTGGCAAACACTGTGCATCCAATGTCAGTTTTGCATGGCTGAATCTCTTTGAAACTGGCTAGAGAATTCTGCCTGTCTTTCATGACACTGATGGTTTGCTGATGAACATTACCACACTGGTGGCAGGAAGTGCCTCATGCAGACAGCGGTGCACTCCTAGGCCATGATGCCAGTCCGTCAAGATCTGCTCTGCAGAGGTCAGCCTGGACCAGCTCCAAAACACATGCCTGGAAGGTTCTAGTAAGCTTTTCTACTAAAAGCATCATAAGTTGATTATAGAGAGCATTGGTGGCAATTGTTCTACGATCAACTTGGGCTTACGATGCTTTTGGGAAATGCCGCCCAGGACAGGGAACTGAGTATGTGGTTGCGTCGAAAAATGTAGGCAGTAACTTGTTGCCTCGCTGCCCAATCAGGCAATGACTTTGCGAGCAGCGTTTGCACACGAAGGTCCCTCACAGAACTGATTTCAGACAGACTTCTTAGGCAGCGTCAAGACACTTTATTTAAATAGCGCTTTTTACAATACAGATTGTATCAAAGCAGCTTTACAGAGATGACATGATAATAAAATAATACAACAAAGTTTGTTTCCAGCATAACGATTTAATGATCTACAGCAAAATAGAGTGAGCTTTGGTGAAAACGAAGTGAATATTTAATGATTACCATAGTAATTTCTTGCTAGAAATTACAGAAAAACGTTGATCAAAAATGTACATTTGCGCACAAACTGACAACCAGCCACAATTTCCAGATGCCATCTTTATTTTTCTAGCTCAACTGTCACAAAATGTAAAGCGCAGGATTGTGGGTATCAAAGGAATTGAAGGATCTATGCTTCCTTCAAAAACCCATCAGATGAAGGGATCTTGAAATGCATCCTAAGGCAGCATTTATCAATTTTCAGACGCAGCATGCATCTCAATGAGCTCCCCTGGTCACTGATCATGGAGTCGGCCATTTTATGGTCTCAATTACAGAATCCTTCCAGGGCACTGAAACATTTTGCGCTTTTACACTGCATGGTACGGTATGGTTCAGTTCGGTACAGCACGCTTTGACGCTTTTCCACTGAATAGTACGGTACGGCTCGGCTCGGTACGGCTCACTTGTGGCTCTTTTCCACTGCATGGTACAGTTCGGCTCGTATTAAATGGTACCTGGTCTGTTGAGGTTACAAGCGTATCGTACTGGTACTAAAATATGATGTGAAACACTGCAGATCACTGATTGGTCAGACAGAATCGTCACTACCAGCGTCATTGTATTTGGGACCAATAGACATCGACAAGTGAAACCAAACCCGCTATATTTAAATAGCCAGTGACAGCCACCGCTGTTTTCTATCAGTCTACAATCCCACCCACTTTAAAGTGGTACTAACTGCAGTGGAAAAGCAACCGAGCTAAAGCGAACCGTGCTGTGCCGTGTCAAGCCGAGTCGTACCACGCAGTGGAAAAGCAAAGCGAGCCGAACCGTGCCGCGCCGAGCCGAACTGTACTGACCCGTAACCAGCAGTGGAAAAGCGGCTATTCACTCCCTAAAAAGTCCCACAATGCACCGTGAAAACCAGGGAGCATCAGCGCTCTCTATGTTCCCTTAACAGAAGTTCTGAAGTGTGAAACAAATTACGTGAGCCATGATTTATAGATGCACATAGATGTTTTATGAAATCCAAACCATTATTTTATTATGTCAGCATAAACATACATCGCTAAACAGGTAAAGAAATAATAGAGCAAACATTTATAATTTATTTCCGGTTAGAATATTGCACACATATGTAACAAGCAAAGTACAGTATTTATCATAATGTACTTTAAATAACTTTTTAATTAATGTTGCAACAATCAATGATGTCACATCACTGGAAATAGAGTCATTTGTGTAGAGAGCCAGCGTCCTAACTGTCTTTTAAGTGCTGTTTAAGAGTACCCAGAAAAGTGCCGTATAAATGTAACAAATTGTTATTATTCTTTTGACTATTACCAGTGCCTGAATTTGTAAACATGATATACTGGTTCACAACCTAGGAATTTATAGGGAGGTGATTGAGACACCATGAGTTTTGACGGAAGCAAAACATACTTTGATCAAGTACACTTGCCGAATAGAGATAGACGGTTTGTACTTGATCAAACCCAATGGATTGGAGTGGAATGGATTCACAAACAGCTTGTTTTGAACTGGTGGTTCTTGGACACCATCAGCTCAGCTCTCCTCGTTGGGTTCTTCTCAGAGCACTTTGAGAATGGGTAAATCTTGAACACTACCTATAGTTTGAAACTGGCCCTAGCAAGAATGTTTGCCCCCCTAGGCAGTTTAGTGTGACTGTGTGTTTAGCTGGCTCTAGTACTTTATTGGGACAAGTGTGCTGAAATGTTTACATTAGCCACTTTTATCTATTCTGAATGTTACTTTGGTGGCAGAATCTTATGTTTGTGTGTAGGCACAGTTTTTGAATAAAACCAATGCAGGGTTTTATACATGAGACTCCATCAATGCACGAATACCTGTTCTGCTTCAGCAACAGAGACAGAGTATCTTGACATGCCAATATTTGTGTCCCAATAACCCCTCAGTCTGTCCTCAAACGACAGCTGCATTCCAGAAGAGCCTGGATACCAGACCTGACAGAGACCGTCTGGTGTCCATTAGCAACTATTATTTTTATATTTTTAAAATGATTGCTTTAAATAACATACAGTCTAAGTTGACCACCAGTGGAAGTAAAATTTAAGAAGCATTTTTTTTTAGTTTATTTCAGATTATTATTTGGCTCCGTGGGGCTGTTGTGCTGTGTTCTTTTAATTTGACATTATTTTAGAGGCAAGTCTATGGGCTATATGCACGCATAAGTTCCGCATTTGACGCAAGGATGCTCGTCCATTTCCGGTTGTGGAGATTTAGGCGGAGTAAAACAGGTTATGGCAGAGTCTTAAAAATTTACTGTCCTCCCGTCTTTTAAACGAAACGAACATACGTTTAGATGTAATTTTATATATAGTTATGTTTATTTAATATAATTTTAAAAAGAAGCATAAACACAATGAGGGGTGTCTGTTTTCGTGACTAACGTTTCTTTAGTATAACCATGGAGTATAAAATTCAATATAAATTCTCGGTATTGCATTGGACTATACGATAGGCGGAAGTTATCGAGCATCCTTAAACCTTCACCGGAAATACCGCCGTGCATAGAGCCCATTCCTTCTAAGGTCAATGTTACGTCGACCGAACTCAATATCATGTGACTTTGACATGGAAAACCTTATTTGGCATTAGATGGCCACATAATGACTTTTAGGTCATCGTAAAAGTGGCATACCATGAATTGCTGTGTAGCTTTACAGGTACTTTTTGTTCTGTGTAAATTAATGTGTGTTTGTATTAAATAACATCATGTAAAATACAAAAAGAGGGCACCAATTAAAAGCAGTGGGTATGGCTGTGGGCACCACTGAGAAAGGCCCTTCTAAACAGCTTTTAAAGTTTTCACATCAAGTCTTTATAAAAGAGTTTGGAAGCTCACCAGGCAGGGCCAGCGGGAGTTCACAAGAAGATAATCTAGGATCAGACTGTTACATGTTTTTGTGTTCTGGTTCTGTTTTCCCTGTGCCTGTCATTTGACCCAGTTTCTCAGTTTGTTTGATTTAATTATCATTAATCATTAATTTCCTGTTCAGTTCACCTGTGTTCACATTAATTTTCTTGTTAGCTCTTTTGTTCGCTCTGTGTATTTAAGCCTTCACTTTGAGTTCCCTATCTGGTATTGTTTGTTTAAATGTGTAGTTTCTCCTTTTTTTATTAAAAAGACTCAAAATAACGTTGTTTTTCTCAACTCAGAATACCGGACTTTTCTTCCCATTTTTCTTTGTTTTCCCCCTTCTATGGACCTGCCAGGTCTTCAGCTGGCACACATATTTCAGCAGACGGTCCAAAGGAAAACATTTGTGGAGTGAACAATCACTTGCCTGGCTGAAGACCAGACCAGCCCCACTCCACATCCAGCTTGACCTTGGTCAAACATCATCGTGACAGCTCCACTGGGCTCCCTCGATCCACTAGCTCCACCTTGGTCAGACAACATCCTGACGGCTCCACCGGGCTCCCTCATCCAGATCACCTGATGGCTCTACCGGGCTCCCTCGTCGAACCAGCTCCACCTTGGTCATACATCATCCAGACAGCTCCACCGGGCTCCCTCATGCAGACAACCTGATGGCTCCACCGGGCTCCCTCGTCCCACTGGCTCCACCTTGGTCAGAGATCATCCTGATAGCTCCACCGGGCTCCCTCGATCCACTAGCTCCACCTTGTTCAGAAAACATCCTGACGGCTCCACCGGGCTCCCTCATCCAGACCACCTGATGGCTCTACCGGGCTCCCTCGTCGAACCAGCTCCACCTTGGTCATACATCATCCAGACAGCTCCACCGGGCTCCCTCGTGCAGACAACCTGATGGCTTCACCGGGCTCCCTCGTCCCACTGGCTTCACCTTGGTCAGACATCATCCTGATTGCTCCACCGGGCTGCCTCGATCCACTAGCTCCACCTTGGTCAGACAACATCCTGACGGCTCCACCGGGCTCCCTCATCCAGACCACCTGATGGCTCTACCGGGCTCCCTCGTCGAACCAGCTCCACCTTGGTCATACATCATCCTGATAGCTCCACCGGGCTCCCTCGATCCACTAGCTCCACCTTGGTCAGACAACATCCTGACGGCTCCACCGGGCTTCCTCAACCAGATCACCTGATGGCTCTACCGGGCTCCCTCGTCGAACCACCTCCACCTTGGTCATACATCATCCAGACGGCTCCACCGGGCTCCCTCGTGCAGACAACCTGATGGCTCCACCGGGCTTCCTCGTCCCACTGGCTCCACCTTGGTCAGACATCATCCTGATAGCTCCACCGGGCTCCCTCGATCCACTAGCTCCACCTTGGTCAGACAACATCCTGACGGCTCCACCGGGCTTCCTCATCCAGACCACCTGATGGCTCTACCGGGCTCCCTCGTCAAACCAGCTCCACCTTGGTCATACATCATCCAGACGGCTCCACCGGGCTCCCTCGTGCAGACAACCTGATGGCTCTACCGGGCTACCTCGTCCCACTGGCTCCACCTTGGTCAGACATCATCCTGATAGCTCCACCGGGCTCCCTCGATCCACTAGCTCCACCTTGGTCAGACAACATCCTGACGGCTCCACCGGGCTTCCTCAACCAGATCACCTGATGGCTCTACCGGGCTCCCTCGTCGAACCAGCTCCACCTTGGTCATACATCATCCAGACGGCTCCACCGGGCTCCCTCGTGCAGACAACCTGATGGCTCTACCGGGCTCCCTCGTCCCACTGGCTCCACCTTGGTCAGACATCATCCTGATAGCTCCACCGGGCTCCCTCGATCCACTAGCTCCACCTTGGTCAGAAAACATCCTGATGGCTCCACCGGGCTTCCTCATCCAGACCACCTGATGGCTCTACCGGGCTCCCTAGTCGAACCAGCTCCACCTTGGTCATACATCATCCAGACGGCTCCACCGGGCTCCCTCGTGCAGACAACCTGATGGCTCTACCGGGCTCCCTCGTCCCACTGGCTCCACCTTGGTCAGACATCATCATGACGGCTCCACCGGGCTCCCTCGTCCCACCGGCTCCACCTTGGTCAGACATTATCATGTCGGCTCCACCGGGCTCCCTTGTCCCACCGGCTTCACCTTGGTGAGACATCATCGTGATGGCTCCACCGGGCTCCCTCGTCCTACTGGCTCCACCTTGGTCAGACATCATCCTTATGGCTTCACTGGGCTCCCTCGATTCACTAGCTCCACCTTGGTCAGACGTCATCCTGATGGCTCCACCGGGTTCCCTTGTCCCACTGGCTCCACCTTGGTCAGACATCATCCTAACAGCTCCACCGGGCTCCCTCGTCCCACCAGTTTCACCTTGGTCCGGCCGCTTGATGGATCCACCGGGCTCCCTCGTCCCACCGGCTCCCTCTTGGTCAGACATCATCAAGATGCCTCCACCGGGCTTGGTTTCTGGAACTCCATCTGGCTCCTCCTGCTCCTAGCCCCCCTTGGCAACCCCCACCCTCCACTTCCCCTTGAACTTATGTGTTTGACTTGCTTTTGTCTTGCCCCTCTCCAGTTCCCCAACTTGTAGAGCCCCCGTCCTCTCTCTTCAGTTGAACTGTTTACGGCGCAAGGACGCTCCTTATCAGGAGGGAGCATACTGTTACATGTGTTTTGGTTCTGTATGTTTTCCCTGTGCCTGTCATTTGAACAAGTTTCTCACTTTGTTTGATTTAATTATTCTGTTCACCTGTGTTATCATTAATTATCTTGTTAGCTCTTTTGTTTGCTCTGTGTATTTAAGCCCTCGTTTGAGTCTATTCCCTGTCCGGTATTGTTTCGTATTGTGTAGTTTTGACTCTTCCTCCAGATGTGTTCTCCTTTTTCATAAAAAAAGACTCTTTGTTGTGTCTCAAACTGTGCGTGTATTACTACATGTGACAGACGAGCGGGACAAATTCAAATACGTTTTCCATCTCAATATAGTAGAAGAAATTGGAGGTAGTTGTTAAACGGGAAAGTTGTATCAATGTTTATGTAACAGACAGTACATTAGGATCAGTTTGTCCCATGTTGTAAAACTAAAATCCAATGTTGAAGTAAACAGTAAAACACACTGACATCATTAAGACAAGAGTCACTATATAATGAGGATTTACTTTTTTTCTCAGATCAAGAGTATAGACTCTATGTACAAACGCTGCTGACATATGTCTGGTAGAATGTCAGCCAGTGTCTTTACCTCCACATAGTGCATTCTATAGTGAAGTGTACTAGCGGCCAAACTTTAATAAAATTAATTTTCTCAAAAACACGACAACGATTTTAGAATCTGATTTGCTAGTCGAATTTTGCATGATATGAGAGATTACTCGCTCTCAAAGTTGTCCATGTAACTCGAAATATATAATTTAATGCCCTGTTCTTTCTTACTCTTCTGTGTGACAGCTAACTACCTCGCAATATCGTTAACATCATTCACGCTAACTATGGGAAGTTCTTGTAAACAGCGAGTGTAATTTTCCATAATACCCAAACTGCATGTCACGTGAGCAACCTGTATGTCTTCTAGTAGCTGGTCCAAGTGAAAACTGAATAATTCCCTTCCGAATCTCACAGAGACGGAGAGAGTGAGTATTAGCTGTCCATGAGCTAGCGCAGCAGGATCAACAGGCTTCTCCCTCGACTTTATCAGACTTTATGCCTCCACGTCCCCCCGATTACCTGCGAGCTTCTCCTCCTGTCTAATTTCTGTCTAATTTTTCTCCGGTAATTTCTGTACTGTGCGACGCGGAGTCAATTCGTTCTGACGCAATCATTAGCCTATTTTTTACAAAAAACTTCTTGTACGGGGTCATAACGTATGATACAAGGTAATGGAGCCTTTAATACATCGTCGTGTTTCTTTAAAGATAAATGATGAACAAATTAAGTCTTTGGACGCCTCAGATGTAAAGTTATTCGCTGTCAAAGTGACGCAAAAATGAATAGGAGTCAATGGAATGCTAACAGCAGGTCAAGTTCTGCTACAATGGCGGCTCCCGCAAGGCTTCAACTTCCAGCTGATGGATTACCCCCTTGGCATAGAGCCTATTTTTCAGAAATGTCAGATCAAATTTATACAGGATGACATTATGAGTTTGAGATTTTTGCTGCTTCATTCATTTTTTAAAAGCTGTTTCTTTGTTCTTTAAACTTTAAATAGCCTTTATTCACTAAGGTTATTGTTGGGGAAAACTGAAACAGCTTTTAATAAAACTTTTAAATACACACTATAAAAAAAATCTGGGTTGTTTCAATCCATGTTTTGGTCAAATTTGGACAAACCCAACCACTGGCTTATTATTATTATTTTTTGTTTGTTTATTCCATTTTAAACCAAAACGGTTGAGTCTGTCCATATTTGACCCAAACATGGTTTGAAAGTTGACATTTTTTTAGAGTGCATGTTGTGGAAGAATACTTTTTGTTTAGTTTTAACAGAATATCACATGCCTATTTAATATATTTTCAAATCCCTAACCACTTTACATTGGCTGTTAAGTCCGTTAACCCACACACGACGCGACAAATCGCGCTGTCCTTCCTCGCGTCGCATGCGGTGTCGCGGAGGGGAAATCCTCACCCCGCCTCCTGTAATACGATCAGCTGAAGAGCCGACAGAACCCACGCTTCTCTTCATTCACTTCTCCTGCTCCATTTTAATCCGTCCCGTTGAACGCAAGAGACGCGAGCGCGAGGATGCGGCGGATTCCGTCAGGTCGCGGTTGTTCCGCGCTCTCCGCGCTCTGTGGAGTCGCCGTGTGTTTGTGCCTGTGGATGCGCGTGGTCCGGGGTGGGAGCGTCTCGTGCTCGCCGCCCGCAGCGTCGGTACAGGAGCGCGTGCGCCGCTCGGGGGTCGTGTTTGAGGGCAGGCTTCAGGAGGAAGAGCGGCCGGGCAACGCGTCGCGTCAGGTGCGCGTCAGGGTGCAGCAGGTGTGGCGGCTGAAGGCGGGAGGGCTCCTCAAGAACTCGGTGGTGTCGCTCATCTGGTTTGAAGGTGGCAGATGTTTCCAGCTCAACACCGGGATCCGTTACATGTTCTTCATGGAAGCCACTAATGACACGTCCGTTTTCACGCCGGTCTTCCCTCCGCTGGAGACCAAGCGCGCCGTGAGGAAGGACGTGAGTCTAGAGCTCTGTCAGGAGTGCGGTAAGACCCTTATATACCTGTCAGAAGTGCATATGCGCGGGAGTTTAGTTCAGTGACACGGCAGCAAAACTAAACTGGAACTTTCTTTGCGTTTTGTTTTGTCTCCTGTCCTGGTGCTGATGTGGAGCTCAGGGAAAAGTACAGTGATCCTATCAGATACACTTTATATTCATTTAAAGCTCATTATAATGCAGCTTTGTTCTGGACTGGACATTTTAAAGTCACATTATTTTGCATAATGATTTTAAACTGACTCGTTTCACATTTCACAAGTTGTTGGGTAAATTGAAGGGAAAACTACATTTGACCCTATTGCTAAAGAAAAATCAGTAATATAATGCTATTGGTACTGAATGAGACATTACAACACACTCCAACATTCTTCAAAGAGTACTGTGATAATGTCAATTTTGGACAGTGTGCGTTTGAACGAAATATGTTGCTATCTGATGATCTTTTAACAGACTGGTAAAGCATTTCTCCAACATGACATCATACACCATTTCATGAGATCAGTCTGCATTCTCTGAAGATCTCAGACTGCTGTCAGAAGGTCTGTGTGTTTGACAATATTGTATTAAAACTTGTTTGATCAGCCTGACTGGATGGATGGATGGATGCAACTGTTTTTTTTTTTTTCTTTTGCATGACGCAGTTTTTCTTTTGCATGATGCACTGCAGTTTACGTCATGCAAAAGAATTATTCCAAAGCTGAACTGTCAGTGCCTTAAATCTGTGTTTTTGGCAGGATATCCACAGAGATTATTAACACTAATGTCATCACCAGATTCTGATGGATTACAGAAATTCCTGCTCAACCCAGTTGCCTCTGTATTAAAACTATTCCTAATGACTGAGTGAGGAGACATTATAGAAGCTTTTGGCTTGGGCTCACCTTGATTAGCTCATGTCACATCATCTGTACTTACAGAATGCGAGGTTGAAAGGTTAGACGAGATGCTATGAACATTGAGAGGAATCTAAAGTTAAAGATGATTCTTCTACTTCTCATTTGCCTGCTATATGCCATATTTTGTCTCGTGTCTGCTAGCATACCTGCAGTCAGTTGATTTTGCTTGGTGGTTTAACACAAAGTCCACGTATAGTTCAATTTTAGCATAGGCTACACAAGTTGTTCTGCCTTTGTATGTTCCCTACACATTTATTATTTCTCTCTTTAGTCTTGAAGTTCTGGCACTACACATCATAGTGAACCATGTCTGTTTGGGTTATTAGGTTAACAGTTATTAGACCAGCAACATTTGTGATAAACTAATGAATATGTATTTTGGCTTTGTGATTGAGCTGCCTTTGTTTAAATTTGTCCAGATGAAATCCTCCAGTATTGCTTCATCGCCTGTGTGCAGCAGTAATGCTGTAAGAAGCTTTGAGATGTTCATGCTCAGCTGTGCATTGTTTTTTTCACTCAAATATAGTACAATAGATTTAATAAGTTGTTAGTCTTGAGTGTTCATTGCAGTGTTGCTCTCGAGTGTGTTCAATGCCCACTGCTGCCCTCTGGGAGAAGCTCCACTGCTCTCACTGATGCTGACGCATTCCTCTGCTGCCTTTCAATCCCACTGTTGTGAGTTTATCTACTTCCGGTCCTGGCGTGACCTGAGAGATCTGTCCATTTTTTTTTCCGTATTAATATTATGAGAATTTGAATTGATAATGGACATCTAGACATCATAAAGATTTAGGTTTTTGAGGAAGAATGAAAAAGCATGTGTCAAATGAATGATGATTTTGACACTTTTTGTAAGTGTTCAGAATCAGATTGGGAAAATATCTCTAATGTCATGATGTACTGTACAGTTAGTAAAAACATGAATGGTTGCAATAATAATTTCAGGGACAGTTCATGTATGTTTTCTCGAATACTTAATCTTAATCGTATTTAAAGCGTTGATTTAAAAAAAAAATCTTTTCAATTTATATAATGGCATTTGAATTGATTTTAAAGGCTTCAACTCCTAAGGGAACTACAAATTCCATCCTTCTGTCAGATAATAACGTTATTCATTTTCTTTATTGAATCTTATTGATTTACAATGGCCTGCAGGAGAAGGTATTACTGAATGGAGTCAAGGTTTAGCCCAAGCAAAGTGCAATGGATAATGAAGACAAGGAGAAGAGAAAACCGTGAGCTTCTAGCACATTAAAATGCAGTTTAAAATGGGACAATTTATTCAATAAACTTTTTTGTTTGACTTTAATGGAATTCTAAATCGTATTGAATAACCTGGGTTGTAAAAGAAACGGCAGAGGTTAATTTGCTGTATTTTGAGAGATAATTTCTTTGAAGGACAGCACGCGAGTTGGATCTGTGGGAGATGAATATGAGAGCTGAAGTTAAGTCTGGACACATATCTCAGAAGGGTTACACAGATACACAGTCATAATCCCCTGTCCTTTCACAGATTATCCCATAATCCCATCTTTATTCTGTATTCAAATGGCCCACATTCAGCACGAGCTCCTAGAACACCAAAAGTGTGACACCCTGAAGCTTTATGTTGCTTGTTATCTAGTGTGTACTTTATTTAGACAAATTAGTCTTAGAATTCTAAAATAATTATTCACATACATTTATACAGTTGTTTTAACAAAATTATATCAAATGAATTAATGTAATTGCATCATCCACAACACATCCATTTTGTCTTTATTATTAATTTACTACCAAAACAGTGTTGTGCGGCCCTAACATGTGCTCAAGCACATCTGTTTCCACTCGCCATAGTCCCGATGTTGCCCATCGCATTTCAGTAAAGACGTCCGAACTGCGTCTCCTCGCATCAGATCTTCATTTGTGTGTGTGACGGAGGGATTCCTGCCACTGTTTTGACTCCTTCACACATTTTATGAGCTCTTCTCAGTTTGTCAAAATATTGTTTTAGATGTTTGATCGCAAAATGTACGTCATAAAAGCTATTTTGTATCTTTTGGTTCAGTTTTAAAAATGACAGTGTGAACGCTAAGCGAACCAGGACTAAATTTATCTTTATTTATTCCGAACCAAAAGAACCAATAGAGTTAGAAGTGTGAACACACCCCAAGTACTGTAGTGTAGTGCCGAATTTCTCCCTGCTGGCCTTCGAGGGGTATTGTCCTGCAGAGGTTAGCTCCTGTCCTGTCTTGATCAAACTCAGCGGAATAAGCTGCACTGTAAAAAATTTGGAGTAGGATTTACTTGATAAAACCTTGCTAAACGATCTCACTCAGAAAATGCTAGTAAATTTACAAAGATTTGCCAAGTAAAAACCTAAACATATTTATCAGTAGCTTTAATTAGAAATCTTTAAGTTAAATTTACTTGGAATGTGGAATTAAGTAAACTTTACAAAAAATAAGTAATTTTAACTCGGCTTGCAAAAGGTTGATTAATACCGATTTCCTTTGCCTTTGTATTACATTTCACTAAAACAAGTATCTTGAATTTTATTAGTCATTTATAGTATGTTCTTTACTTAGATCATCTAAGTAATTTATATATACATCATGTCAGACTTTAAGCCTTATGTGAATGCAAACACCTCAATACTTGGTAGACAATACACAATGGTGGTAACATTTGATGGATCGTTTTTGTGTTTGAATGTGTCGTTTTAAGCAAAAAATTTACTCGAAATGTCACAAAATGGCAATTTACTAATACTGAAAACAAAAATCAATGATAAAACAGTGTAAATACAGCTGGAAACCAGTGAAACATGAACCTCATTAATTATTCAAGGTCCAGTGCATGATGGGAACCCCAGTATCAGAAAAGTTGAGTAATTTTTACTTAATTTTATTGAGTTGATATTACACTTTCATTTATACTCGCTTGAAATAAGTACTGATATGGAATTTACTTAGTTTTTTTTAATTCTTGCCTGAACTAACTTTTTCAAGTAAATTACATTGGGTTTTTTCACTAGTATTTACTTAACCAAAAAAATCATTTTTTACAGTGTGGGCTTCAGGAGTGCTTGATATTTACAGGCAAATGGGTTCTTCAAGTGAAATGTTCTCTTATGCTGTGTTCACATTATAAGGCATTACAAGCTCAACTAATTGTTGCGGTGAGTATAGTTAAAGTGGTGAGTATAGTCAATTTAAATGGGGAATTTTGGCTTGGACATTTGTTGTAACTTGTTGAATGGGGGTCATATGAGAAGGGAAGAAATCTGTCTTTACCACTGGAAGTACCCTGTATCAGTTCCAAGTCATGATTATGAGATGGACAAATGCTCCATCCACATTTCTAAGATTTGTGGAGCTGCTGTTCTGGCCTGTCCTGGAAAATATGTGTCATCTGTCTTTATGATCTGCTAGTGTTTCGCTCGAACTTCACAGAACATATCAGAAGCCTCAAGAAATTGCTTTTGAAAGTTAATAAATGTCTCTTTGCACTACAACAAATGTCCAGAAAATACCCAGGAATTATGGACTCTTTCAATTATTGACTTTTTACGCAATGTAATTAGTTTGACATTAACCAGTGACAAATGTCAGTCAGGGACATTATAGCTTTGTCACCAAGACTTGGAGGTAGATAGAGGTCATCATTTCCAGATATGTGAAATTTGTCACCATTAGATTATAAATTTGGTGCATATTTTCACACTTCTAATTCTAACCTTCTAACTCATTTCAATATACTACCATTTGGGACACACTAATTGTACTCATTTCGAACATTATTTAGAACAGATAGTGTGTGAATTGGGTAGAGCATTGGAGAGCTGTTGCGTTGAATCAGGCATTTGATTAGATTCTAGATGGTCGTCTGGCTCTGTGTTTCTGTTTTGCAGTGTATCAGAAACATTGGAAGCGAGAAGCGAAAGGAAGCTGAGTGAGGGATATGATTGTAGTGTTAGCAAAATTATCTAAAATGAATGCTACATTGTTCTCATTAAATTACTACCTGTCTGTTTTAATGCAAAAGTATAATTGTGTATGTAGTGTGAAATTATTTTCCCAGTTTCTCAGTTTCTCCTTTTTCTGGGCCT